GCGGGCCACCGCGAGTCATCCTGCTGCTGACATCGGACCTGGCCTCCCCGATGACCATCTTCCTGAGCGACATGGCCGAAGGCGACCCGGCCCTCGTGACACATCCCCGGGACCGCTACTACCCGAAGGCGGCGGCCGCGCGGCTGGCCCACCCCCAGGCCGATGACTTGGTGGTGGCCCTGGGATCGCAAGTGTGGCTGGTGCCCGGGCCATTGGTCCCGGCCGGCCAGCCATCCGGACACGAAAGCACCAGTCTCGGGGCTCAGCCGCTGGTGCCGAGGCACCGGTCGGTGACCGGCGTCTGGCAATCGGTGGCCTTTGGCGACTTCGACCAGGATGGCCGATTGGACATGGCCCTGGCACATTCCAGCTCCGGCGGCAATGTCCTGCTGCTGGGGCAGGTGGATGCCACACCGCGGTGCCTTTGCGGCCCGGCGGGCGTTTGCAATGCCAACCCGGAGGACCCCTACCAGGAGCCGACATGCGAATGTGAGGACCCGAAAGCCGACCTGGACTTCCCCCTGGCCCGGTGTGAGTTCTGCCTGCCCCGCTACTTCCGAGGCCAGGGTGCGTGTTTCCCGCTGGGGGGCTTGGCAAAGGGGCGAACGGGTGGCCAGGTAGGGGCGGCGGGGGGGGGGGGGGGGGGGGGGGGGGGGAGAGAAAGGAGACAAGGCTGGGGGGGGGGGGGGGGGGGGGGGGGGAAAGGGCGAAACCAATTCAGAGACAGAGTGGGGCCGGGGAGGTGTGCGACGAAATTCGCACTTCAGGGCCAGCTTGACCCGTTCCCTGAGCGGGGACGCGCCTCCGGCATACCGGCCCTTTGCATGGTGCACTGACGTGACATTTGCCTGCTGGGCCCCGGGAACGGGACGAAACCCCGGGGACGCGGCCGAAAGATGGATTCTGCCAACCGTGCCACGGGACATGCGACACATGCGCCGGGCCGGCGGAGACCGACTGCCTCAGTTGCCTACCCGGAGCCGCCCTGCAGGCGACCCAGTCACCGGCCGGACGCTGCATGTCGGTCTCGGCAGGCAGCCAAGTGACCGTGTCCTTCTCGAGCCCCCAGTGGCCATACTACCAGGCCAGCCAGGTCATCAGTTTGACATACAATGTCCGGTCGGCACATCCCTTCCTCTTGCATGATCGCGCATTCTGGCTTCCCCGGATAATGGAGCTCTGGCCACAGGGATTGCAGGTGGACGCCTCGCGCGAGCCGGGACTGGCCGAGGGCATCAACATTGGGGAGAACATACTTGTACTCCAGGAAGACCCCTTGGGCAGGGAGTTCCAGGTGACCAGCGAGTGGTATGATAGCCTTCTCGTTAGTACGATTTCCGGTCCGGCAGGATCACGGACCATGGTACAATCGTGGAATGGCCTGGAGCACTGCGTCAGATCCCAAACCCATGGAGCATGTGTCTGGATCCAAACCTACCCGACGCCGGGTGGCGCCAACATCCACATGGGTCGGGTGGGCAGGACAGCCGGCGGATCGACCTCCAGCGAGCAGGAGCCCCCCATGGTGGGGATCATCAGCGACGGTCGGATTGGCCGCCGGCCGTTGGCCACCACGCCGGTAGCCGGGGCCCTTTGGCTGGAAGCCGACAACCACCTCGGCCTGGACACGGTCCTGGTGCTGCATGAGGCCCCGTCGGAGCTCGAGGACGATATTTGCTGGCTGGGATGGCAGCCGCGCCTGGTGAAAGACGAGGCACAGGCCGCGCATGTGCCGGAGCCCGAGCGCCTGCTGGCAGATCCGCTGCCCTGTGGCCAGTTGCTGGGTTTGCCGGCGGTCGGGGCCACCGGCCGGCCGCCGGTGCTGCTGGCCGCCCGCCGGCCGGCGGCGGATGGGCCGGTGCTTTACATCTTGCGGAACCGCGCCCGTCCGGGGGACAATCGACCGCGCTTTGAGGCCCCGGTGGCCTTGCTGACCACCGGCCAGCTGGGCCACCCGGCTGGCAAGCGCCTGGATCATGTGCAGGTGATTGTCGACCGCCATGGCCTGACGCCCACCAGGGCCGTCCTCTTCCTGGCCGATGGGAACTGGGTGTTCCGCGTGGTGCTGGAGCAAGATACGACATACGACGGAGCCGGCCATTCGCACCATATCCAGGTGATGGTGGAGCCGCTCATTCCACGCCACACGGCCGCCGTCTTTGGCCCGGAGCCGAAGATGATGCTGGCCCTGGATATCGACGGGGATGGGGTGTCCGAGTTGGCCATTTTGAAGCCGGAGGACCGGACGTTGGTCATCTTCCGCCAAGCGTCCGAGGACAATGGCTGCGGATGTGGCCGTGCCGGACAATGCACCATCCCGGACGAATGGCATGCAATTCCCTGCGAATCGACCGACGCCCGGTGCGTGCCCTGGCCGACGGGCATGCGTGTGGCGGATCTGTGCACTTGCGGGGCGGGGCACCATTCGGACCCGACAGGCGAGGAGCTGTGCGTGCAGTGTAACTCGACCGTGTCCGGTGTCTTCCCGCCGACATTTGGCGGTACGTTGCGGGGGCTTTCGGTTGCTGCGACCGGGCGGGGAGGGGGGGGGGGCACGCTTACCTTTCTTCTCTTGCCCACTTTTGCCTTTGTCCGGGGAAGGCGCTACTCGTGCTTACCCCGCCTGTATCACCCCCATGCATGTCACCTCACCTCTGACGGGTGTCCTGTTTGCCGGCGGCGACCCGCCGCATCCTCTCTCCCTCTCTCCCTCTCTGCCTCGCTGTCTCCCGCCCGACACCCAGTGGACTGTGTCGCATGCGAGGTGGACGGCTGCTACTTGTGCACCGCCTCCGGACGGTGTTTGCGCTGCCGGCCAGGGCTGGTTTTGACACCGGACGGCCAGTGCGCGACCGCCTGCCCGGACCCCGATGCCCCGGTGGAGGACGGCCAGTGCCGGTCCCCCACCCCGGCCGATGTGTGGGTCAGCGCCGCCGAGGTCCAAGCGCACGCCTCATGGGCCGGGGCCCGGGTGGTGGATGTGTCGAACCTGCGCCCGGTCACCCACCCGGCCATGCTGCCCGGCAGCCGGGCCATAGCCAGCACCTTCCCCTCGTTGCATGTTTTGGCCCCTGGCGATCCCCAAGGCAGGGACAGTGTTTGGCTGCTGCCAGCGGCCAGCCTGCTGGCCGATGGCCGTGCCAGCCCCTTTGGCCGGCTGCACCTGCGCAATGCAGTCCACTGGCTAAGAGACACATGCTTTCACTTGGCCCCGGGCGTGGTGACGAACAATCTGTCGGCGACCGCCAGCATGGCGGCCGACACGACAGCCGGTCCAATGCCACCACCTCGGCGGGAGGGCCGTTTCCCCGGCTGGCCGGGTCGCCCGGCTGGGGGGGCTCCTTGGCGAAGGCCATCCGGCGCAGGTGGCGATCGCGCAGCATCGACCTGGGCCCGGGGTGGTGAGGCACCTCACGGCGAAGAAGCGGACCTCCGGGCCGGCGCCCATGGAGCAGCACCGGCCTCCAGCCGGCCGAGGCACCCACGACCTGAAGCCATGTCGGGCTTGGCCGCCGGCTGGGGAGCATTCGCAAGCCCGCCGGGGGAAGGCCCAACCGCTGCCGGGGTGACCCCGGTCCAGTCTAGGGTTGACCACTCGCGCGCGGACATCGTGGCCCGGGACATCATCGTATCCCAGGAGCTGCCCATCCGGCGGCCATGGTTTGCCGCGCTGGCGGAGCCCTTCCCGGCGGCCGACCCGCAGCCGGGGGCAAGCGCCACCGGGCAGCAAGCCCATCCGGAGGGGATGTACATCCAGCAGAAAATTGGCTACTTCTACACCGTCTTCGAGATGGTCGCCGGGGTGGAGGTGGCCGAGGATGAGGGGCGCATTTGCTCGGCCGATGGGGTCCTCCTGCCGGCGGTCACGCGCCTGACCAGGCACGGATCTCTCGAGGGCACCCAGGTGTTTGGCGGGGAAAATTGCTTCTCCCAGGATGTGTGGCTGCCCTTCCCGGCCAGCGAGCTGTCCATGCCGCCGGGCACGCAAGACTGGTGGCTCAGCCAGGATGCATACTTGCTCCTACGACAGCCGACCACCGGGGCGGCCCAGCCGAGCCTGGTGTTCATTTGGCCGGCCAATGACTGGATCCCGGCCAGACCGGAGTGCCACTTGCGGATGATGGAAATCCCCCTCATTCCAGGGTCATGGCGCTTGCCGATCGTGGCGATCCACGAATCACTGATGGCCTTGGAGACCGAATACTTCTTCATGCGTGTGCCATCCATTCGGGAGTTCCACCCGACAGCCTCGGCCTCCGGGCCGGGAGTGGTGTACTTTGAGAATCCGCTGATTGCGGAACACAAGTTGCTGGTGGCCCTGGCCCCGGAAGAGCCGGCCATCATGGCGGACTTGCAGCTGGTCACCATGCTGCCGAGTAATAGCCACTGGTATATGGTATTTGTACGGACAGACGGCCAGGCCGACAGCATCATGGCCATGCCGGTGGACTGTCTGGTGGAGAATCATGCCAATTGGCAGGAGGCCCCCCGAACATACGGGACCCCAGGGCGATCCTGGCCCACGGCCAGGCCGACATATGGCTGCGAAGCGTTGCTCCTTGAAACCCGGCCGCTGGAGGGGGATGGCCCGCACGGCCGGCCGCTGGCCCGGGCTCGGGACATGAACAGCGATGGGCTGGACGATTTGGTGCTCCACTGGCCGACTTCCGGCCGGGTGGTCGTGTACATGACCCAGTCGACATTGCCGCTGTCCTTCCGCCAGACAGTCGTCCTGCCCGGGCGAGTGACCACCGAATCGATGGCGCCCCTGGCCACCGAGTATCCGGTGCTCCTGGACCCGACCCTCTTCATGGTGGATGTAGATGGGGATCGCTTCTTGGACATTGTCATCTTGGAGCACGCCGCCGCCGCCGCCACCACCACCACCTCGGCCATGATGATGGCCGACCAGGGGGCCGGGCTGTCGTCGCTGCCGCCGGCCGCGCCGCCGCTCACCCTCCGGGTGTTCGGCCGGTCGGACCAGACCAACGGCTGGTGCCCGGCCGGGGTGGACTTTGACCCGCTCACCGGCGAGTGCCAATGCCCCGGCCAGCTTCGCCACATGACCCCGCTGTCGGATGAGTGCGAGTGCATCGAGCATGCGCTGCCCGTGGCCCCGGGGGCGGCGGACTGCACCTGCCCGGCCACCATGGTCCCCGGGGTGGGAAGATGCATTTGCGAGGCGGGCCTGCTGCCGGTGGCCGACGAAGCCACCGGCAAGGCCATCGCGCCGGCCCGGTGCGAGGCCTGCCATGCCAGCTGTGCGGCCTGCTCGGCCACCCGGCCGGGGCTGTGCGCGGCCTGCCCGCTGGGGCAGCTCCTGCTGGCAGGCGTGTGTGTGCCGTCGTGTGGCAGCGGCTTTTTCGTGGGCCCAGACGGCCGGCAGTGCATCACCTGCGCGGCCACCTGCGCCGCCTGCCTGGGGCCGGCCAGCAGCCAGTGCACGGCGTGCGCCGGGAACCGGTACCTGCCGGGCGGCGTGCCCGGGACCTGCCGGGCCTGCGACGCGGCCTGCAACAAGTGCCTCGGTCCGACGGCCTCGCAGTGTGTGGCCTGCGCGGCCGGCTGGCTGCGGGCCCCGAGCGGCGAGTGTGTGCGCACCTGCCCCGAGGGGACCGGCCTCTCGGCCCCCGGGTCCGGGGTGTGCGCCGCCTGCGCCGATCCCGGCTGTGCAATGTGCGTCACGGCCCAGGCCGGGGCCATCTGCCAGGCCTGCCGGGATGGATTGCAGATCGATCCCTCCGGCAAGCGATGCATCCAGTGCCATGCGTCGTGCGACACGTGCAGCGATGACGGACCGGCCGGGTGTCTGACCTGCGCGCCGGGGCTCCTGATGCACGAGTCGGCCTGCGTGGCTGCCTGCCCGGCCGGGACCTTCGCCAGCGGGGCCCTGTGCGAGCGGTGCTCCAGCCGGTGTGCCACGTGCAGCGGGCCCCTCTCCAGCGAGTGCCTCTCCTGCCCGGACGGGTGGTTGCAGCAGGCGGATGGGGCCTGCCTGCCGGGCCCCTGCCCGACGTGCGTCTGCAATGTCGCCGACTGCGAGGCCTGCAGCCCGACCGACCCGGACGAGTGTCTCATGTGCGGGCCGGGGCTGCTGCTGTCGCCGGATGGCACATGCACGAGCGCCTGCCCCTCCGGCATGTACGCCCCCCCGAGTGGCGATAAGTGCCAGGCCTGCGATGTCTCCTGCGCCGAGTGCACCTCGGGCCAGCAGAGTGCCTGCACTGCCTGTCCAGGGACGCATGTACTGCACCACGGCAAGTGTCAGGAGGCATGCCCGGCCATGTGGTTCTCCCAGGAGGGCGGCGTCTGCACGCCCTGCCACGGGTCGTGCCTGTCGTGTGGCGGCTCGGGCGAAGACCAGTGCCAGGTGTGCCTCCGGTCGCACATCTTCCACCAGAACCACTGCCTGAAGAACTGCCCGCCGTCCAGCACCCCATTGGCAGGGAGGTGCGTCGAGTGCGACATGTCGTGCGTCGAGTGTGTCGGGCCCACCCCCGGCCAGTGCACGGCCTGCTCGCCGGCCAGGCCGCAGCTCTGGGAAGGCAGCTGCTTGGAGGAGTGTCCATTGGGGACCTTCTCCGAGGCGGGCGTTTGTCTTCCCTGTGGACCGTATTGCCTGTCGTGCGTCGGGGCCGCCAGCCACCAGTGCACCCAATGTGCGGGGGACTTGCTGCTCCACCCGACGCATGGGTGTGTGTCGGCCTGCGGTACGGGGCTCCTGCCGGAGGGGAACCGATGTGTGCCCTGCGATGCAGGCTGCCGGCATTGCCAGGACACGCCTGGCCATTGTGTCCAATGTCCGGCGGGCACATTCCTGGGCACCACGCCCGGCACATGTGTGGCGGCGTGCGGCGACCGGGAGTTCGTCGACATGTCGCTGCCGACCACGGCCCGGTGCGTCGGCTGCCATGGGGATTGCGCCTCGTGTGAGGGGGGCCCCCGGGCGGAGCACTGCACCACCTGTGTGCCGGGGCTGACGCTGCGGGTTGGGACCGGCTGCGCGGCCGACTGTCCGGCCGGCTTCTTCGAGGCCGAGGGCCCGTGGCCGGGGACGCGCCAATGCGCCCGCTGCGCGGCCGAGTGCACTGCCTGCACCGGGCCCGACGCGCCGGCATGCACCCGATGCATCGAGGACCGCCTGCTGCTGGTCGGGTCGGGCGTCTGCCTGCCAGTCGAGCAGGCTGCCTGCCCGAGTGGCTGGCACATGGATGCCGCGGGTCGGCGCTGCTTGCGCTGCTCCGACGGGTGTCTGTCGTGCGACGGGGCCGCCGAAGACTGCGAGCAGTGCACCCCGGGCATGCATTCCATCCGCCTGCTGGACCGCAAGCCGACCGATGGTGCTCCAGTGGGAACCGGCCCGCGAACGTGCGTGGTCCTCTGTCCGGATGGCTGGTTTGTCCAGGCCGCCGGCAGTGCGTCGCACTGTGCCAGCTGCGATGGGGTCTGCGCCACGTGCGATGGCCCCGGGCCGGATGGGTGCCTCCTACGGGACTGCAATCAGCCGGGCGCGTGCCCGAAGACAGGTACGCCCCCCGACGGGCATCGGCCAGGCAGCATGTGCTTCTTTCTTTTTTCTTTTTTTTTTAACACCGGCGGCCCGCGGTGGGTGTCAACTGCCCCCGCCCCCAGGCGCGCGCTCGCTCCTCCTGACGGTCGTCCTGCCGGTGGCGCTGCTCCTGCTCCTGCTGCTGATCGCCCTGCTGGTGTTCTTCCTGCTGTGGCGCCGGCGGCGCGCGGCGGCCGCCGCCGCCGCCAAGCAAGAGGCCATCCCCATGCAGTATATCGGCAATCCGGTGCGCGCACACGCCGTCACACCTTTCTTGCTTCGCACCGGGCTGGCATGTTGGCAGGGTGCCGTGCCAATATGATTTAGCCGTGGGGATATGCTGACACGGCGACATGTACACGCGCGCATGTGTGCGCGCACATGTGCCCGACCGCCGGGTTGCAGGAGGACATGACGATCATGAATACGGTCATTGGTGCGTCCCCTCCCCCCGGGGCAGGGTGGACATGGCGGGCCGCTGCTTTTTTCTGGCACACTTGTTCGGGCCCTTTTTTTTTTTCGGCCCCCCCCCCCCCCGCATCCGAGTTCCTGCGCTGACGCCCCCTTCGCATGCAGAGCTCTCGCTCCCGGGGCACCTGCTCCTGACGCCGGAGGTGGACTACCGGGTGGAGCGCCAAGGCAAGCCCCTGGGGCAGGGCGCCCAGGCGGTGGTCCTGTCGTGTGCCCTGCTCCGGGATGACTTGGTGGCCGCGGCCGGCGGGTCGGCCGGCGCCGTGAAAATGGTTCCCCCTGGTATGTGTTCGGCTCGGCAGATGCAGCATGCGTGGGGTCCGGCCTGCCTTGACTGACAGCCTGCCACAGATTCGGCCTTCCGCAAGCAATTCGAGCCGCTGCTGGACCAGGAGATCGCCATTCTCAGCCTGCTCCTGGCCGACGGCGGGTCGCCCTTCGTGTGCCGCCTGGTCGGGTACTCGACCGCGGCCCCGGGCCCGGCCCTGATCATGCCGCACTATCCCGGGGTCCTGTCGGGGCTGCTGGCCACAGGGGCCTTGAGCCCGGCGCAGGCCCTCGGCCTGGCGGCGGACATCGGTGCGTCGCTCCTTTCCCCCGCGCCCCGTCCGGCATGTCGGTCACTGACGTCCCCCCGCCCGCCGCCCATAGCCGCCGGGGTGGCCTTCATCCACGCGCACGGCGTGGTGCACAAGGACCTGAAGCCGGAGAATGTGTTTGTCCGGCCGGACCCGGCCGACCCGGCGCGCCTGCAGCCGGTCATCGGCGACTTCGGCGTGGCCCTGGTGCTGAACCGGTTCTCGGTGATCCCGACGCTGGGGGACGTGGCGGCCGGCAGCCTGCCGTACGCCCCGCCGGAGACGCTGGCCCGGCTGTATGGCCTGCCCTTCGCCCTGGCCCCGCCGGAAGGCAGCGTGGTGTCCCTGCTGAAGGTGGACATCTACTCGCTGGGCGTCCTGCTCTTCAGCCTGGTGTCGAGGGTTCAGCCGTGGGCAGGTGCGAATGCTGCTGCAGGGGGGGGGGGCGATCTTCTTGTTGGGTCTGCCTTTGTCGCGCGCCTCTCCGGAGGGGGGAGAGAGTAAGAGGGGGACGAAGTGTGTGTGTGTGCGCGCGTGTGCGTGCGCATCACTGACCGACACCCGCATCCAGACACCGCTCCGGAGGAGATCCCGGCCGCGGTGCTGGCCGGCCGCCGGCCGCACAGCGAGGTCCAGCCGGACCACGCGCCCTGGCTCGGGGACTACCGCTGGGTGTACCAGGAGGCCTGGGCGGCGGACCCGCGCGAGCGCCCGAGCGCCGCGGACATGGCCACTCGACTGAGCGACCTGGCCGCCGGGTGGACTGGGCCCCGCTAGGCCGAGCGCGCCGCATCCGGCCCCGGCAAGCAGCGCTCCCCGCATGCAGGGCCCAGCGACGGCGCGTCTGCATGTGTGCGTCCGGTCTCGGCCTCCGAGGCATCAGCACGTGGACAATGAACCAAGCACACTGGATGGCGTTTCGCCGCAGGGCCAGATGGGAAGGGGGGGGGGGGGGGCGAGGAAATGCGCGAATCAAAGGGAGGCACTCGATGGCCATGGGTCCAGGCCGAGCGGGTGCCGGCACGACCGCCGAAAAAAGGAGCCCAGAAAAAAGGCGCCCCCACCCCGACGACGGGGGCGAGGGGAGGGTCATGCTGGACCGGCTGTCCGGGGCACGGCGCGGCCGGCCTGCCGGGCGCGCGGCCGGGGGGGCGGGGCGGACCGGGGAGCGCCCGCGGCCCGGGCGCTGACGTCCAGATGGGGGTTTGTGCTTGGGCGGGGCCAGTCGCATGGGGCCAGCTGCCGATGAACCGAATATATCCGGCTGACTATTTTAATCCGGCTTTTGAGTCAAGGTGCCCGGTGGTGCTGCCACCGGGATCGAGCTTTAGCCCGGTGAGCATGACGGCGGGGGAAAACAGGCGCGTGTTTGGCCTTTACCGGTGCGGGGCATGCGCCGGTGTGCGGAGTGCGCGCCGGCCCGGCCCGGCTCTTCTGGGGCTCGGGCGGTGTTGGTGTGTGTGTGTGCGTGTGTGTGTGGCCTTTCTCCCCCGCCCCCCCTCCCGCGGCTCCGTGCGATCCGGCCCGGGGGGCTTGGCTGGGCAGCTCTGTTCGTGGCCCCAGGGGCGGTCTGCCAGGCGGGGCATCCGTGCCGGTGTCTCGATGGGGGGGGGGATGAAATGCCCCCGACGGGCGCCCTGGGAGACCTGATTGAGGCCAATCAGACACTCTCCCCCCCCCTTTCCCCCGTCCCCTTTGTCGGCTTTCTCGCCGCCTTTGCCTTTCTTGCCTCTCGTCCGCCCCCCCCCCCCCTTCCGGGCGTGACGTGACCGATGGCGGCGTTTTTTTTTGGCCCCGCTTTCGCCATGCCCGCTGGCAGTGAGCCGGGCCACGAGCCGGGCCGGCGGAGGTGCCTGCTGCCCCGGACGCCACCACGGCCATTGCCGCGGCCCCCGGACCCCCCATGCCCCTGGGTGGGTGGCTGTCGCGGGCCCAGGCGGCGGGCATTTGGCTGTGTGTCCTCCCCTGGCAATGGCGGCTGGTGATGTGCGGTCCGGGCGGCTTCGGCCTGGCCCCCCCCCCCCCCCCCCCCGCCGCTGCATGGACATGGAGCAGGTGGCAAAAGACACCTGCATGAAAAGCAGAAGCCGAGGCAACAGGCAGGGGAACAAGCGTCACGCCAAGGAGCGGGAGGCCCAAGGCAGGAGGGAAAGGGTCCTCGGAACGGACAACCCCCCCCCCCCCCCCGTGGTAGACGCCCGATGTGGTGTGCATGGTGCGCTCTGTGTCCGGGTTCATGTCCCCTGGGGCGTGTTCCACGCGGGGCCCTCTTGCACCGGCAGGGCGGGGGGGTCATGCCCGCCGGTGGACCTCACGATCCGGGCCAGCTGCATGTTGTCGCGCGCCCGCTCGCTGGCGATGATCCGCCCTCGATTGGGGCCCGGTGCCGGTCAGTCGACGGCCACACAGGGGGGGTCCCATGCTCCCAGGGGGGGGGGGGACCAACCATGTGCCGGTCTTCGATGGACACCGGTCACTGTGCATGCATATGCCGGTTATGTTTGTAGTGATGGGGGTTTGCCCGCCTCCCTCTGGGGCTGGGGGCGCCGCACTGGCCGAGGTCGGCGACGAAGGCCGTCCGGCTGGCGGGGATGCGCCCTATGGCGCTGGCCATTGCCCGGGCGGCTGAGGGGTGGGCGGCCGCCGGGATGATGGCGACGCCGCTGGCCGTGTTGTCCTGTCCGGCGGTCGCTCCCCCGGCTGGGGGCTGCGGCCCCGGGGGCCAGGTTGCCGGCCACGACCCGGGCATGCTGGCCGTGGCAACTTCTCCGGGCCGGGCGCATGCCGGACGAAAGCCTCGCCGGCAGTGGTCGAGGCAGACGGGCGGGGTCGGACCCGGGTCGGGGTGTCGAGCGCCGCGAGTCGCACTCGGGAGGGGGGTGTCTTCCTCCGGTGGTCCCCGGGGCCGGCCCCCCCCCCCTCCTCCCGAGCGGGCGGCCCGCGCGCCGGGGCCCTGGTGGCCTTTGCCTCGGGGCAGCCGATGTCCGGCTGGCGAGCAGAGGCCGCCACGAGCGCCGCCTTGTGGCGTCTGGCAGCCAGGTGTGGCCGGTGGCCGGTGGCCGGGCCGCCGTGTGACCGGCCGGGTATCCTCTCGGTCAGCATGGGCCCGCTTGGTCGGCGACCGGCGGTGCTGGCCTTGCCGCCGGCTGGGCCTGGGACCCTGGCCCATGGTTCGATGTGAGCAGTCCGGGCGATGGGCCCATTCGCCGGTGGCTGCCTCGACCTGGTGCCTGCGCGGCCCGGGGGATGGGAGGGGGACTCCCTCAGCCGGTCGGGGTGCTCGGTGGCTGGGCGCGAACGCCGATGTCCGAGTGGACGTGGCCCGGTGTGGGTCTCGTCGAGTGGGGCCCTTCCTTCTTTGTGCCGGCAGTGGCGGTGCGCCCGGTCTCTCGGGGCCTCTCCATTGCTTGAGGGTTTTTTTTCCCCCTGGGCCCTGGGTTTTTTCCCGCTGCGTGGGGCCCATGCTCCGGGCCTCTGTCCATGTGCGACATGGGCGGGCGGTCTGAGTTGAATGTGTGTCGGCCGTCGCCCGGCGGGCGTCCCGTGTAGCGTGGCGCACTTCGGCGTTCGGCCGTGCGCGGCGAGCGTCCCCCGCACGGGTTGCTGTCTCCACGCACGGGCCGGGCATGCTCTGCCGGAGAGGGCGCAGTGTGGCGTGCGGGCTGCGCAACGGCGGCCCAGGCCTGTCGGTCATGCGAGGATGGCGCATGCAAGGTGCCAATTGCTCCTGGGGGCGGTGGTGGTGGCAGTCCTGCTGGGCTTACTCCCTGGATTCTTCCTTGAGACCATGGCAGCCAGTGTGTGTGTGTGTGTGTGTGTGTGTGTGTGTGCGCGCGCGCGCTCGCTCTGCCGGGGGTACGTGCACACATGCACACCCACACCCACACGCATACAGACGAGGGGACTTCTGAATGTGGCCGATGGCTGGCTTGCGCAAGGACAGGGCGGAGGCGCTCTCGCGTCGGCAGGTGGGCCGCCCCCCTCGGGCGAGGGGGTGACTTTCAATCGGAGCACGGCGGCCGCCAAGAGGGTGGTCTCTGACCAGGGACGCTTGTGGCGGGCATGGCTGTCCGCCAGGCCGGGGCCAGCCTGTCGGGGGATTGTCGGCGCGTGTGGGACGTTGCCCGGGGCTGGGGCGCTGCGGGCATGGGGCCGGGCGTCCGGCGGGGCCGGGGTCCGATGATGGGCGCTCGATGCCCGGGCCGTGGGGCAGGTGCCTGGGCGGCCGGGGCCTCGGCGCCAGGCCCCTCTCGGCCCGCGGCGGGCAAGGGACGTGGCACCGAAAGCGTGGTGGTGCTCAGGGGAGGTGGGGCATTGCCTCGGGCAGGGGCGTTCCTCCGCCCGCTGGCGGGCTGGCTGTCGGCAGCCGTGGCCCTCCCCTGCCGGTTGGTGGGGCCGCCGCTCGGGGGCCTTTCCCGGGGCCGATTGGCACCGCTCCCCCGGAAGCCCCCGGGATGGGGGGGGGGGGGGCCAGCCGGGTGGGGCTCTCCCTGCGGCGTGGGGTGTGGCTGCGCCGGGCGGGGGGGCGTCTGGCCGGGATGGGGCCGGGGGCTGGGGTCCGCGGGGCGATGGTCGTGGCCCATGCGCGGCCCCCCCCCCCCTGCCCCGGCCCACAGGGCCATGTGCCCGGGATGTGGGCTGCGGCCGGGTGCCTCGCTCGGTGCTCGCTGGGATGGAGATCTGCCCGCTGGGGTGTGCGGTGTGGTGGACGCACACGCGCGCGGGCGGTCCCCGATGGAGGAGGGCAGCCGGCTGGCGGCGCCACACGGTCTCCTGGCCGCTGGCAGTGCGGGCCTCCTGGTGGTGGGCCCGTTGCGCATGTGGCCGACCCAGCGGCTGCTGCTGCTGCTGGCAGCCGGTTGGAAGGGTGGTGTCATGGCCGGCCAGGACGCCGGTCGCCGGGCAAGGCTGCCGGTGTCGGCGCCCCGCCGGCCAGCGGCCTCCGGGGCTGGGAGGCGGTCGGCTCCGCCAGGACCCGCGGAGTGGGCCCGGGTCTGGGGCCCGAGGGCCGTGCGGTTGCCCCGACCCCCATGGGCTCGGGCAATCGTTTCCCCGTTTCCCGCTGGCGGGACACATGCCGGGGCCGCCCCCGGAGCGTCCGGGTCATGGTGGCCGTGGCGGTAGGCCGCCCGAGCCGCTGGGCCGAGTGGTGTGCCTGTCGCCGGGGCTCCTTCCCAGAGGGGGCTCTGGGTCGGCGGGTGGCGGGCCCCTCGGCCGGGGTGCGCCCGGCGGCCTTGGCTCTGCGGGGGAGGGTGCCCGGTGGGGCGGGCGGGCATTTTCCTGCCCGGGACCGGGGCCCGGCTGCGTGTGGCCGGCATGGCCCCCCCACGGCCATGGGGCCGTCGCTCGTGCCGTGGCGGCAGTGCGCCACACGCGGGCCCCTGGGCACGATGGCGCGGTGGCCGGTGTGGCGGCCAGGCGATCGGCCCTCTGCTGGGTGGGCACATCCTGGGGGCCAGGCAAGCGCCCCTGGCCATTGGGATGCGCGCGCGGCGGCGCCGGCCGTTCACCGGGGCGGCGGCGCGGCGGGGATTGTGGTGGGACCCCCGGGCCGGGCGATGTGCTCTTGCGCGCCGGGCAAGTGCCGGGCGCGTGGTGGCATGCCTGTTGCAGGGCCCCCTGCGACGAGAGGGCCCGTGTCAGGGCGGGGCCGGTGTCATTGTCGTTGGCACCGCCCCGGGGGTGGGCCTGCATTCGATCATGGCCCCGGGTGCATATGGGGATGCTGCTGGGCCGGCGGCCGCGGGTGCCATGGTGTGCGTCTGCCCGAGGGCCAGGGTGCCGGGGCCGTCGCGATCGGTGCGCGGCCGACCGGGGCCACCCGGCCGGGGGTCTGCTCCGAGCTGGCGCATGTGCGGCCGCTTGGGGCTCGGGTTGTGGGTCGAAGGGCGTCGGTGTGCATGGCGGCCTCTTTGCGACCTGCTGTGCGGGCTGCCCCGGGCCGGGCCACCCATCCCGCGCGCGGGCTGCACGGGGGGGACCGGTTGCCGCCGGGCCGGCACCACTGGCAAGCGCATCGGACCGGCGGCCTGGCAGTGTGCATGGGCGTATGTGTGGGTGTGTGCCCTGCGCCCCTCGGCGACGGGGTGTCGCGCGAGGGGCTGGCATGCCGGCCCGGAAGCCTGGCTGGGGCATTGTGTGTGCGCGGGCTCGGGCCGTGTCCTGCGTGCCGCGGTCGGGGTGGTGTTTATGGGTGGGCGGCCTGCCGGGCCGGCGGGCGGGTCGCTGGCTGGCAGGCGGGGTGCCGTGGGCAGCAATGTCGGCCCGAGCCGATGCCCGGCCCGTGCATCCCGGGTGCCGGTGCAATATGCCGAGACTCGGAGGCGTGCCGGCCGGGCCGGGCGGATATGTGTGCCTCATGGGCCAAGGGCCGGCCCCGGACTTCATGCCCGGTGCCGAGCAGCACATGTGCCTGTGCTTGCCGGGCCATGCCTCACGCCGGGGCTGGACCAGGCGCCGATCGGGTGCCAGGGCCCCTGCCCGGGGGGACCATGCCTGTGGCGGCCGCCATGCATGGCGCTCGCTTGGGGGTCCCCGCCTGGCACGCCTGTCTGGCGACCAGCCGGCGGAGGTGTGTGTGTGTGTGTGTGTGTGTGCGTGCGCGCGCGACGGGGCTACAGCTCGCCGGCCGAGTGCGCGCCCTGCTCACCGGGCCGGTCCCTTGTCTCGGGAGAGCGCGACCGGCCGGCGGCCCGTCCGGCGGGGGGTCTCCTTCATGGTGGTCGTCGGCCTGCCTCGTGTGTCGGCTTGTGTCCGGTGCGCGGCGGTGGGGGCAGTCACCAGCGCACCGGGGGCCGATTGCCGCGCCTGGCGCCTCGGACGTGTGGCCTCTTGTGGGCAGAGGGCCACATGCAAGGGGGGTGTGTGGCCAACGGGCGGCCTGGCGTCCGGGCAGCCGGCGGTGCCAGGTGTGCGGCCGTGCCGTGCGGTGCTTCGGCCCCGGGGCCGGGGCGGCTCGGTGCCCGCCCGTGGGGCCTGCCCGTGACGGATGTGCCTCGGCGCGGGGGCTGCCATGGGGCCTGGGCCCGTGCGCGTGGGAGCCCAGCGATGCCGCGCTCTTGGCGCATGCCCGGGCAGTGTGCGCCGGGTGGACATGAGGGCCAGGGGCGCGGCGATCGGCGCGCGGCCTTGGGGCCGGGGCGGCTTTTAGTCGGCCCTCCTTTTGCCTCGTGCCCACCTGGGTCGCTCGAATGCCGGGGAGGGGACGGCCCGGGACCGGTGTGCCTTTGCCGCAGCCGGCAGCCTCGGCCGCATGGCGGTATGCGTGTGGGGGCAGGTGTCGTTGCCTGGCAGCGAGGTGGGGATGCCGGCTGGCGCGGCGCCGGGGGCCGGATCTCGCCCGATGGCAGCCCGGGTGGCCGGCTACCCGTGCGCACGCCACAATGCCGAGGGGCCTGCGACCGGCGGGACGCCAGTCTGGCCCTGGAGTCGGATCGACACTCGAGACGGCGGCCATTCGGCGGGAGGGAGCGGGGGAGGCATGGCCGGCCGGTGAGCTGCTGCACGCCCCGGCCGCCGGTGGCCATTGGCTTGCCGGGAGTCCTGGTCTTCCGCTTGGGGTCGTGGTCGAGTGCGAATGCGGCTGCAGGGCTGGCCGGGTCTGACTCCGCCGGCGCACCGCTCGACCGCGGGCGAAGGAGCCTCCCGGACCGAGGATCGCATTCGCACGCCGTGCCGGAGACGCTCCCCTGGACCGGACACGCCGGCACACGGCCGCCGACACTCCCGGCGGGGGGGCGCCGGCAACGCCGGTTCCCGGCGCAAACCGGGCGGAACATCAGCGCCGTCAGCGCGCTCCGCCGGGGGCACGGGCGAGTGGTGGTGTGCCCCCCGGCGGTTGTGGCCGGGCCTCCCCCTTGGCCGATGCCCCCCCCCCCCCCGCATACTCTACTCCCCCCCTCCCGTGCACACACAAAAGGACGGAACACGCCCCCTGGGGTTCCTTTCTCCCCCGGCGCAAAAGAGAAAGCCCACTGTGGGGCTCGAACCCACGACCCTGGGATTAAGAGTCCCATGCTCTACCAACTGAGCTAAACAGGCGTTTCACGAGGGATCACCCTCACCAAGGGCATATATGTCCAACCGGAAAGCCTCCCCCCACTGTGCCGGCCCGCACCACTCACCGCCCCGCCGGGTGCCATCTTGCTGCTCGGCTGTCTGCCAGGCAAGGTGGGGCGCCTCTTCGCGCTCCTGCGATGCAGGGCGTGCTCGTGGCGCCTCCCGTGGGTCCCCTCGTCCCCGGGGACACGCGCGGCTGTCCCCCCCCCCCCCCGCACAAGGTCCCGGGCACCCGGAAGGAGGGTCGTTCCCTTGGGGGGAGCCCGTGCTGTGTGGCCTGCCCCTGTATGCCGCCCCCCTCTCCCCGAGGGGGGCCGGGCGACCCGGACCCGAGGCACCCTCGTTGCGGGGGCGCCCGGCCACCGGTGTGGCTTGCTTGCGCCTGCCGGTGCCCTTGGCCCGGGGGCCGGCGGCGCCCCAGCGGGATGCGGAACGCCTTGCGGGTGGTTCTAGGGGGTGTCTCGCCGGGCGCCGAGGGGTCCCTCCAGCAGGTACATATAACCCTACGCGCGGGACCATCCCCACGGAGGGGGGCTTAGCTCAGTGGTAGAGCACTCGACTCCAGATCGAGCGGTCAGTGGTTCGATCCCTCTAGTCCCCATTTCTTTTTTTGGCGGGGCAGGGGGAGAGGACACGCAGCGCCGCCGGCCGACAAGAGAGAGAGATGGCCGGGGGCCTCTGGGCACGATGACGACGTCCGGCGCGCGCACCCCGGGGGGGTGGTGCCCACGACCGCGCGCGATGGCCGGGGGGAGGCCGGTGAGAGACGCGGCCGAGGCCGTGTCCCGGGGCCCGGAGGCGTTCATTCTGGCGGGCGGGGGGGCGGGGGGGCGTCTGGCGAGGGGCACCCAGGCGCCGGCGACACACGATCGGGAAAAAAAGCCTGGCCCGTGCCGTGCCCGGCGGCCTGCGGGGCTCGGTTTCCCGCACCACAGGGCCGGCCCATGCACGCCGGGGGAGGAACGGGGGCACACGCCGGGCGCAGGGCGGGGCCCCCCCCCCCCCCCCGGCCGAGCACCCCGTCGCCGGGGGGAACAAACAAGCGAGGCCGCGCGCGTGCGCGTGCGATCGGGCACAACCAAACAAACCCGGCCCCCGTTCATCCGTTGGCAACCTTGGCGGTGCGGGAGACCCGGCTGTGCCGGCCGCCGCGTCGGCGCCAAGGGCGGCCCAGCCGGGCGGGCGAACATGGTCAGCGCCCAGCCTCGGCGAACACCGGCGCGCAGCAGCATGGGTCCCTCGGAGGGGGGGGGGGCGCGGGCGTCGCCCCTGGAGACAGACCTCCGCCGGCGGGGGGGGGAGGGCGCGCACGGCGGCGGCCTCAAGAGAGGCCCCGGCAGGGGGCGCCGCCGCCTCCAGGCCGGCCCGGGGACATTGCTGTCTCCCTCTCCTCCCCCCCCCCCCCGCTCCCTGCTCCCTCTCTCGACTCGCCTCTCGCGGCCACTTGCCACGCTGCCCTGCCCTGGCCTTTCGGCTGGTCCTCGCTCGCTCGCTCGCTCCCCCCTTTCCTCCCCGCCCCCGCCTGTCTGCCCGTCGGCACCTCTCGCCGCATTCGCTGGCCCGGCATCAGCATGGCGCCGGTTGCTCCGATCCCCGCGACAGCCGCCTGGGACACGCGTGTCCTGGCGATGGAGCTGCTCGACGGGCGGGTGTACTTGCAGTACGCGGACTTCTCCATCTCCGGCCCGGTGGCCAAGCACCTGGTGACCTTCGACCTGTGCCGGGCCTCGCGACCGGGCACCGATGTGTCCGTCATCCGTCAATCCTTCGAGCATGGGGTCACGTTCCCCATGGGCCCGGGGGTGCCGCTCGGGTCGCTGAACTGGCTGGATCGGGTGCGTTGCGGCGACGCCGCGTCCCGGGGGTTTGGGCTTTTCCCTCGTTCCCCCCCCCGCCCTCGCGGCTTGGTGGGCGGATGACTGACAGCATGCACTTCCCGGGGGTCGGGGGCGGGTCCGGCTGGCGGCCGTAGGTGGGCGTCCCCGGGGACGCCCTCCTGGTGGCGGACAATTGCGCCCTCCTGGTGGACGGGAGCACCGTGAAGGTGTTCCCGTTCGAGGCGCGGGAGGACGATCTGCCCCGGCAGGCCGGCGGCCGGGCGCTGGAGGGCCTCCCCTGGACCGGGCTGCAGGTGGGCACCCGGCTGGCCGTCCGGCGTAACGTGGTGTTCCTGGAGCCGGCCCACCAGGCCATCGGCTTTTTGATGGAGGGCAACTTGCACTTCTTCCCGGTGCGTGCCGCATGTCGGCCGGGGGGCGGCCGGGGCGCGCGATCCCCCTGTCTGACATTGGCCCTCTTCTCCCCCCCCCCCCGCCCCCCTTTGGACGGTCTGCCGCACGGGCCGCCGGGAGCAGCATGTGCCGCCGCCCTTCCCGGCGGGGGCGCCCCTCCAGCGGGCGCTCTTCCGCGGGACCGGCAGCCAGCTCCATGTGCGCCTGGACGCGCTGGAGGTGAGCGTGGAGTTCCTGTCGGTGGGCCGGGACTCGACCCGCGTCGAGGCGGTGTCCAAGGTGAGCGTGCAGCAGTGTCTGCTGTGCCTGGGCCTGGGCGCGGCCACCAGCCGGGCCATCGGGGACCTGGTGTCGACCGGCCGGCCGCACAGCCAGCAGGACTTCCGCAGCTTGGAGCATTGCGGCCAGGCGTGCTTCGACGTGTGGGCCACCTTGGCGGATGGGTTTTTCGTGCACTGCAACCGCGTGCTGGCCATCGTCCAGGGGCGCCTGCTGCTGGTGGAGCTGCCCGGGGAGGCCGTCGAGCCGGTTCCCCTGGCGGAGGTGGTCCTGCTGGAGGGCCTGTCGGCCAAGGCGCGCCTGGAGCGGACCACCACCCGCGGGCAGGCCCTGCTGGTGGACCCGGCCACGGAGCGTGCCTACTCCATCGACGTGGGGACGCACATCCGGTGGCCGTCTGCCCGGCCGAGGGTGCGTTTCGTGGGCGCGCGCGACTGGGGGCCAGCCGGGCGGATCTGGGCCGGGGGCAGGGGGGCAAGCACACCCTCGAGACCATTGACACGCGCGATGCCTGAACCGCATGCTGGCGGTGGCGGCGGCCGCGGTGGCCCGTAGCCAGCCCTCCCGGCGTACGTCGATTCGACCATCGCCCGGTCGCTGTACACCGGGGAGCATGTCGTCATGGTGGATGAGACCGGGCGCCGGGTCATTCTGAGGGGCTTCGACCAGGACACCACCCGGCGGTACTACGAGCAGCCGGTGTACCTGTCACCGATGCCCAACGCGTCCGCGGACTTTTGCCTGCGGCCCATCGGCCGGCAGTCGCGGGACACGTCCGAGGGTGTACGTGATGGGGCCACTTGCGGGCCGACGCTTCCATGCGCGCACACACACACACACACACACGCCAGGGATTCCGCCGCTGACACACGGGTGCGCACATGTCGGGGGTGGCGGCGGCCCCCCCCCCCCCTCGGCGCCCCCGTTCTCCCTCGGGCCCCCCCCGGGATAACCGGCCCCGGGTTGCGAATCGCCGGGGTTGGGAAGGACTGCATGTGGGCAAAGGTTAATGCCGAAGAGGCGACCGTGGTGGGGCGTTGGACCTTATGCCGGTCGATCGGCCGACAAGATCGGCAGGGCGCGGTCGGTCCCCCTGTCGGCGACAGGGGGGCCCGTGGGAGCCGGGCAGACCGGGGGCGAGGTACGCCGAGGGCCGTAGTCCGAGGGCGGGGGAGACACCGGGCGCGGGGGGGCCGCCCCTGCGCCCGGGGGGGGGGGGGGGAGCGGGACGTGCGGGCGGCAACATTTTGGGGCTCGGCCGCGCGGGCAAGGTGTCAAGCGGCAGGGCAAGCACGCCTGCG